AAAAAAAAAAAAAAAAAAGAAAGCTCCAGACAGTCTATGTATGCCTTCTTATCTCCACCTCACTGCATCTGAGATTAGGTATTGTGTCTGCTATTGCAGTGCAGCATAATGGGGTTAAATAGCCTGGGGTTTGAATTCTGCTTTACTTTGTATTTTAGTTAGATTATTTTGAACAAGTTACCTTAGCTTGTGTGTGTGTGTGTGTGTGTGTGTGTGTGTGTGTGTGTGAAATGAGCATGATAGTTCTTAACTCACATGATGGGAACACTGAGTGAGATAATGCACATATTTAGTAGAGTAGCTAACACAGGGTAAGAGCTCAGTAAATGACAGCATTTCTGGACTATTGTGAATAATAATCAACAAGTATTTATACAATACCATGTGTTCAACATCATTTTCAGGAAGAGGAGAGTACAAAAAAAGGGCAACTGATGCCCTGTGTCTCCTAGAAGCTTATAGTCTTGCTGAGGAGAAAAAAAATATCATCTATATAATAAATGAGATAAAATTTAAGAGCAATTATGTATCCCTGACTGTAAATACAACGAGAGTTTAAAGAAGGGCGAGAACAGTGGAAATAAGACTGATTGGAAAGAATTCATGGAAGAATTGTCTTGGAGAATGTTCTTAAAGAATGCATGGAAGTGGCTTCTCAGAGCAATGGCAGAAAGCATGCCAAGTGAGCAGCCTAGATGAAATCACATTCTAAAGGCACAGGAAAGTAGGACATCTGCCTAAAGTGCCCCACTGATAGTGGGAGAGCCAAGATTTAAACCCTCATCTGCCTTAATCCACAGCCTGAGCCCTCATCCACTGTGTTATATTGCATGACCATGCAATCTAGGGGGACAGAAACCTCAAGCCTTGGCATCTGGTTCATTTCTGGTTGCAGTTGTACTTCTCATGAAGTTCTTCTTGAACAACCATGAGGTTTTCTATACCTCCTTCCCCTCCTTTCTTAATGTGGTTTGGGTAGACTTCTGTTCCTTGAACATAAAAGAGCTTTGACCAAGGCAGTTCATAATCATTGACTCCATGTTGAAGGTTCTAAGAATTGTCCATGATATTAGATTGGTTTTCTATTCATGATGATGGAGTGATACTCTATGACTTAGCACCTCTCCAGTTCGTACCATCCAACAAACATCACTAAAAGCCTTTTACAAACCCAGCTGTCTTCTCACTAGATATCTGACCAACATCAAGGATCCAGTCTCAATGTCCACTAGTCATGCTCTGACCTCAATCTGTGACCATGTTTCCATTGTCATTGTTTTCAATAAACTTCAGCAAACCAGCTACTGAGATCAAACATGGTCACTCACCTGAGGAGACTCTATGACAAATTATGGTCTCTAAGATGGGGGTTAATGCCATTTTCTCCATTAAGCCAAGTTAGAGATTCATCCTATAGTCCCTCAACAAAGATGTCCCTTTCTGACAACCACAGATCACCAACCATCCAACCAAGAGGCTACAGATGAGTGGTTGCTGAATACAGAGCACTGAAAATAGGTCCCAGAGCAAATTGCGTGCATTTCCTCATCTCTACAATGGAAATCACAATGAAGATTTTCTGTAAAAATAAAGTACTCCATTCCTGGTTTTGATTTTTTGAAGTCACAGAAATTTGCATTTAAACAAAAGCAACTTCAGGGTACCTGGATGACTCAGTCAGTTGAGAGTCCGACTCTTGATTTTGGCTCAGGTCAGGATCTCATGGTTTGTGAGTTTGAGACCCATATTGGGCTCCTCACTGACCATGTAGAGCCTGTTTGGGATTCTCTTTCTCTCCCTCTCTCTGTCCTTCCCACACACTCTCTCTTAAAATAAATAAATAAACTTAAAAATTTTAAATAAAAGCAACTTTTATCAAAGAGTAAGATTTAAGAAAAATTTTATCCAAATTCCTCAAATATATAGTTTTATGTGTGGTAAATGATAAAGATATCATAATAACTACTATAATATATACCATTCACTGACAGTTTAAGTTAGTAGGTATTGAATTAATGTCTTTATATTAACTTAATCCTTAGGAGAAATTTGTTACATATATTTATTAAATTTATGCATATATACATAGAGTAATATAATTATTAATAAAAAAGGAGAAGTAATATTTGGAACTGAGATAATGAGGACACTGTAATCACATTTATAATTAGTCTTCTAAAAAGTGTGACTCTTACCCTTCAATACAGAATGAAATTCTAGGCAAAAGAAGCTTAATATATTTTTTACTTACCAAAGGCATCATATGTACACTTCTTAAAAATTTTACTTGGAGGGCGCCTGGGTGACTCAGTCGGTTAAGCGTCCGACTTTGGCTCGGGTCATGATCTAACAGTTTGTGAGTTTGAGCCCCATGTCGGGCCCTGTGCTGACAGCTCGGAGCCTGGAACCTGCTTCGGATTCTGTGTCTCCCTCTCTCTCTGCCCCACCCCCACTCGCACTCTGTCTCTGTCTCTCAAAAATGAATAAACATTAAAAAAAATTAAAAAAAAATTTACTTGGGAACTAGTATACCAAGAAATAATGAAGTTAAGAATGTAATATGTGTTTGGAAAACAAGGGAATTTAAATGTAATTCATATATAGTATCATTATACAAATTTAAAATTTGAAAGGGTTAAGCACTTTAATTAAAAAATTGAAAGCTGCTTTGTGAAATAACTTCTATGGAGCCTTTAACAGGCTAATATGGAAGTCTATGGTTACAAAATCCTTACCTAAAACATTAAAAATAATTATCTTAAAAAATGTACTATTTTATTAGTTATTTAAGGGAAGAAAATTATTTTTATAAAATTATGCATTCATTATGATTGGAAAAAAGCTACAATATTATTAGCAAAATTGAGTATAAATAATCTCTCAGTGATAGAGTGATGTTATCTAGAAGGATTTAATTGCATAATCTCCTAGGACCTTTCACATAGATGATATTTTTGAACATGTGCTTATTTATCCAAATGATGGAATCAGCTTACTTATCCAAGTGCTAGTAAGAATCCAGTGTCTCACCAAAATAAAACAAAACAGAACCAGTTTTCTTCCACCCTCTAAGAATCTTCTGGTTCCCTTTTGTCTTTAGGAACCCATTTTATTTCCCTTAAGAGTCTTGGGGGTCACTGACATCGTGCTATCCAAGATTGGTCTCGGCACTCCCGGAACGAAGGGAAATATTTTTGGTTAGACTTACTCAGGGTTGTTGCAGAGCCTCTCTGCACTCTGGGCTCCGGCCCCACAGGTCCTAGAACAGTGGGACCAGGGTGACCAGCGGCCCCAGCCTCCAGCAATGCTCTCTGGTTTCTTCCCCACTGTGATACATTTGCCAGCCATACACCACTAAAAAGGGAAGAAACAGGACAGGCATACATCACAAAGGTTCCCATTGCGAGCTGAGCCAAGAACCCCAGAAGTCGAAACCCAATTCTCCCTGAGCAAGCAGGCTTCCTGTGGTCACACATCATATGGAGAACAAAGAGCTCACAAAAAATTTCCCCAAGAATCTTGAGTTTTTGAATCAGAGAATGTCAGTAATTGAATGGAACTTTATGGTGTCCTATTGTAGCTAGCCAATGCTACTCAATGTTCCTCAAAGTGCATGCCAGAATGTAAATCCACACACCTCCTCCTTCACTGAGAAAGTCTTGTTACGAAAAGCAGCTCAGTATGCTTAGGAACACAGTTGCTTTCTAATGTAATTGATTGACCTTCTGCTGCAAGTCCCTTATCTTGTTACAGACCATAAACAAACATTTTGCAGACTGACACTGTGGTTAACACTTCTCCATGTCCTCTATGGGTATTTAGAGTTCACAGCAGAGAACTCATACTCTTGCAAAAATCCACTTATTGTCAAAAACAAAAACAAAGACACTAGTTGAAGTGCTTTCTAATATCAAGAACAATTTTTGCTTTCCTGTAACTCGATTATTTCCAGTTCTAGCATTTCAAGTGGCTCAGAAAAAATTCCGTCCTCTCTCTTCAAGGCAATCCTTCAACAACTATCAGTTTAGGAAGGTGAGCATACAAAAAAGAAACAAAAGAAAATGCGATTTGGTTGTTAGATGATTTGGGCATATTTTATCTGCTGCCCCCTTTTCCTCATTATTTCTGGTCACTGTGTGTTGTGACCAAGTTCTATAATTTCAGTGATGGGTCTGATGCTACTCAAGCTGCATAAAGATACCCAGTAAATGCCTAAATCTTGGGCTTACAACAAACACAACTGATTTTGGTGAGCAGCACATATTACCCTGTTCTCAAGCAGTCTGGAAGATTTCTAGCATCTGAATTCTTGGGTGTCTGGCTTTCCTGCTTAGTTAAATGGGAAGAACTCCAAGAAATGCAGTCAAATGAGATGATGAAAATGAAGAAAACCAGTGGCCCAAATCCAGCATCTTTGGAAGGAAGAAGCCACTGGCTTGCCTTCTCAATTTTTAACATGGGGGGGGGGGGG